ACACACAGATGTGTGTAAGAAAGAGCTTTATATACAAGAGCAATTGAACATTGAGAAAACATCCCAGCTCATTCCAGATCAAGTTCATAAGTCCGATATTAGCCCATATGTCTGATAGCAGTCTATAAAGTCCTCTTCAGACTCATGAAACACATGCAATGACGCCGAATGTAGAAGATCACAGGCCAGTGGGTAGAGAGTCTTTGGATCCAGTGGCATTGGAAACATCTCGGCGCTGGGAGGGGTCTCTGCATGGCTTCTCCAGCACCCAGGGCTGCATCAGGGTGGGTCCATGTGTCTTGTCAGCTATGTGTCCCAGGGTGTGTCAGAGAGATAAAAGTGTCTTTCACCTCCAAGAAGGAAGTACCAGATTTGCCAGAATTCTCAGGAGAAGGCCATGCCTACACAGAAATCTCCTTAGCTATCTCCAGACTGATGGCCTAGGCTCCACCCCTACACTCTTAATTCTTAAATTGAAACCAGATTAGGTGACTACCACGTTGTGACACCAGTGAGAAGTGTTCAAGGCTGCCTTCTTTGTCAGGACGTGTTACGAAATTCTGTCAAGTTGACTAATAAATGCTGACTGGGCAGAGCACCCTGCTGTAAGCCTCAAGCTGAAGGCATTCGGGTTAAGCTCCATGTATCAGCAAGCCCCAATTCCTGAATGAAGTGCCCAGAGACACACCATTCCAGTAACCCCACGGTCTTTTTTTCCACCCCCCTCATTGGAGCAGCTAGTGGGTTCGAACTGTGACCTTTTGGGTTCACTGCCAATCACTTTCACCACTGTGCCCCTAGTGACCCTTTTTAACCTGGATACTGAAACGTGTTCCTAATAAAGTACCAGCCAGCAGCTGCTCCTGGGGTGGCAGCTCTTGATTGGAGTCACCTTCTGAATACAACTTAGAGCCTGGAAATGGGAAGAGGAAGGAAGGGCAGGCCCCCTGTCCGGTGCCGCTTACAGAGCACGATCCTCAAGCTCAGCCTGCGCGAAACCCAATCGTGACCATTTCTGTCCCTTTGCGGGACCTTGGATCCCAGCAGGGTAAATCTCTCCCAGATGATGTAAGATCACCTTGAGAGGGGAAAGGGCTGAATAAATTTCAGTCAACTGTCTCTGTATAGATTTGGCCAAAAGCTAGATTGCCCTTAGGGCGAATGTGACTCTGCCCTCCCCTCCAAAAAAAAAAAAAAAAGAGGATGGGGGCAGGGACCCTACCTATGTAAATAATTTGGTTTAAAATGATTTACAGAATTCATGGGTCTGAGTGAGGTCCCGTGGTTTGTTGATGAAGATTTAGAATAAAATAAGCGGTCTGGCAAGGATGTGATGTTATTCACTAAGTGCACGTATATGCTCTTTGTAGCGTTCATCACCATCTCTTCCCATTTAGGCATAGGGACCATTTGTTCATCGTACGCATTGTCAAATGTGCCATTCCTGGATAATTTTACACCTCCATCACAAGATAAAGGTCGCAACAGTGCCAGGGATCTTCAGAACCTGTTGGGATTGAAACAAGACATCGGGTCTTGGCTCTGCAGTTCCCGAATGTCACTCCATTCACGCTGCTTACGTTGTGATGTTGAATCATCCACGATACTGACCCAGCATAGTGCCTGCTTTTCACTCTCTCGTGGAGCCCAGGGGGTGGGGGTGGGGGTGGGGGGGTATGTGTTGGCCTGCTAACTGCAAAGTCAGCAGTTCCTAAACCACGAGCTGCTCCAAGGCAGAAAGACAGGACTTTCTACTCAGCCGGAGCATTCCACCCTGCTCTCTAGGGTCTCTGTGCTATACTCTCTTGTGCTATACTCTCAAAGAGTTGTTACTTTGCATTGTTGGCGAGGACCACAAACACAGTCTCACCCAGAGTGCACAGGAGCAATCATTTATTTTCTGGTAACACGCCATTTGGAATTTTGCAGGGAAAGCATAAGCAATGTCTTCTTCCAGGGCCTCCTCTTGAGCCCCTTAAGCTGTAATCACCATATCCCAAGAACCTGATCCCTCCCTCTCCTGGTTGCACGGCTACCAGCTGGTAGGATAAGCAGGGCCCCACCGACAAGGTGCAATGCCTCATTCACACAAGAAACAGCTGGTCTTCGTCTCAAAGAGATTAAAATTAACCAAACCAAACCCAAATCTCTACCACTCAGTCGATTCAAGATCAACCCAGGGACCAAAGGGTCCACATTGCGTGTGCAAAGAGGGAGCTACATTCGAACTGAAATGGTTGCGGATCACTGCATAAATGAGGCTGAGTGTTGCCTGTGATGGATTCCTTCTAATGAACTAGTTTCTTGTTCCTTGTGGGAGAGGTGTCCCTTGGCACCCCCGGGTCACATCGGGCGAGGGAAACAGGCTTGCTTGCTTAAGCCACCAGGAGCCCGTGGAACATTTCATAGGTTGCTTTTCTGAGGTCAAATGAAAGCTAGGCAGACCACTGAGATTTGCTCAAAGTGAAGACCAAATGTGAGATGATGGGAGTGCTCATTGGACAAGAGTGTGAACCCTACCTAAGAGAAGAAGGTGGGGCCCGATGAAGTGATGGAACCTCACCTGCTAGGAAAGGAATCTAGGCTTCGATTCGTCCATACTATTCCTATTCCGAATGCCATTGGTTTACCGAGCAGATAAATTTCCGAATCTGGCTAACTTTCTTTGACTTTTACTCTTGATGCAGTAAGCATTGGGCTGGTAACCCCACAGTTGGGGGTTCCAGCCACTCCCATGGGAGAAAGATGAGGCTCTCTGCTCCAGCCAAGAGTGACAGGTTTCAGAATCCCAAGGGTCTCTAAGAGTCTGAGTAACTTGATGACGGTGGGTTTGGATGGGCAAACCCTACTGCTCTAACTATCCCATTTGCTTTCACTATCTTCTGATTTGCTCTTTGTTTCTTTGAAATGATCAGAGAGAAATTTCCCCGTGGGAATAGAAATCAGCCTTGTGAGAGCCTTTCCTTTCCCCACTCCTCCACCCAGTTCTAAAACCTCAAGCCAGCCAGCAGATGCAGACATACTTACTGCCCAACAGCACTGTTCTGACAGGTCATGGCCAGCCCTGGGAGTCAGAGAAGTAAAGGGAGATGTTGACTTTGGAGGTGTCTGGGAGACTACTAGAGGCGGGAAGTAGATACTGGCCTGCAGGAACAGGGAGGGTGAGAGAAAGTGGGGACTATCTAAATGAGGAAAGAACAGGAAAGTAAAAGCCAAACCACAGTCAACTGAAATTTTCCTGCCCTCCAACCTCCCTTTTTGTATGTCACTGTCTAGGAGGGTGGCAAACCCTAGGGAGGGGCAGACTCCAGAGCAAGTCATACAATGAATCCTTTCAGCCATTGATTTCATCAGACCCTTCGCGCTGCACACCCCAATACAAGTCTAGCTACACTGCTTCTTGACAGAGGAAATGGGGCTAAGGTCTGCCTCTGGCATTCTCTACTCATTCAACCCCACCGCTTTCCCCCCTCTGTGAACAGATTCAGTTCCTTCTTGGGAGAACATTTTCTCCCCCTGATGTTCTTGTTCTTCAGCACCCTGGCAAACATCAGAGGGAACGAAGCCATGAATGAGCTCCCCTGACCTAATTTGGACAAAGGGCTCTCTTTCCCTTACCTTCCTGATCCTCCCTGCTTCCAGCCCCCACACAGGAAATCTTTGACTCCCGGACATAAAATGGGCGAGTGGGTTTCTGAAAGTAGCCAGCGAAAGGAAAAGAAGGGCCCAAATAGGACAAGAAAAGGAGAGCAGAGCAAAGAAGCAAAAGTCTAAAGAGACGCCAATACTCGGCGGGGCCAGCAAAGAGAAAATGGTAAGGCAAAGGGGGAGCCAAGTGCACCCAAGAGCCAAAATTAAGACCTAGATCCAGAGCTCGGGGGACGATTTCTTGCTTTTGCTACTCTCATGATTGGTCCTGAGGGGTTTATCCGTCCTGGATTCCCTGTGTTTTGAGCTCATGTCTGTAGCAGTGGACATGCTCTGGTCTAGCTGGATTTGTAAGGTAGAATTGGGGTCATGATAGTGCGGGGGAGGAAGCATTAAAGAACTAGAAGTCCAATATACTAGACTCTTGTTTCTCCCAATTCCCACTGGGTCCAGGTACTGACTGGTTCTCCCTTCGAGGTGGTTTCAGGAGTTGCTTTGTTGCTGTTTAAGGGTTAGCTGGTTCTTCTCTATTCCGATAATGTGTGTTGTCTCTGTTATACGTTTCATCGGTGCTATGCTGCACCCTGATTGGCTCATCTCTTCCTTGTGACCCTTCTGTGAGGGGATCTCTACTCTTCCAAGAATAACCTTGAGCCTCAACTAAGGGGAGTGAATGAAATTTTCATCTGAGAGAAGAGCGCTTTGATCAGAGGCAGAAGGTGTTCCATAAGGTCCAGAGAAAAGCATGCTGTCCTCGGCCCCAGCACCTGCTCTATTGGGTGTGTGCCTCCCCTACCCCCACGTTCACAGCACACCCCAACCAGGGCCCCTCTAGTTTTCCAGTCTCGGAAAGAGAACCTGATCCATCTGGTTCTCCAGTTGCAGCCACATAGGATCGCTTTAATCGCATCTACAGCAGTGGCTCGCAGGTGAGCAGAGCCCGGATAATTCTTCCTATAGAAGGTGTTAAACTCTGCCAGTTCTCCTCCCTGAGCAAGCTGCAGACCTTGGGAAAGAGTGCGGGAACCCCAGGACACCAGCAAGAACCCCACCGGGCTCTTTATCTTCACGAGGAGAGACAGAGATCTAGGGAGATTAGAGAGAAGGCTCAAACGCTTCCACCAGTAATGATGAGAGCAAAGTGCAAGTTCGGTGGTCCCCCAAGGCAAAGAAGAATTCTATTTTCAGGTGTGTGTGTGTGTGTGTGTGTGTGTGTGTGTGTAAAGAGTAGGTCACCGTCTCTTCCTAGGACCTTCTTTACAGAATACCTAAGTGGGGCGGGGCGGGGGGGGAGCAAGACCGGAAAGAGGAAGAGGAGAGGGTGAAGCCGAGGAAGAGGGTGAGCCGCTCCACTATCCCGAGGTTAACTGGAACTTCATGTTATTACAGGTTATAACGATGAACTTCTCAAGGATGAACGTGAGGTAGTTGCAGTGAGGAGTCACCTGGCCCGGTTTGGCCAACTTGCAGACGGTCAAGTCAAAGGGGCGGGGACTTTTGTGGCATTTGCCCCCTTTGAGCTCACAGGCAATGACTGGCGTGTTACAGACAGCCTTGACAGTGGCTTCCTCCTCGTGGATGAACGTGTACTGATGTAAGCAGGTTTGATTGTGCACCTGCATCTTGGGGGCCATCATGGCATTGCATTCCCTGGCGAGCAGGTCGTACCTCAGGTAGTCTTTGCTGTTCTCCAAGGGAACGTCAGCCCTGAGCATCTTGTTCCCAACTTCATCTTCATGGAAGATGGCGTCTACGGGTTGCCAGTCGGCTTGTGCTCTTCCTTGGTTGTTAAGTACCAGGGTTTCTGCCATCCGGGAGCCTTTTCCCACCTCGGCAGCATCATCCACCTTATCCTGAGCGTCGCTGGCCCAAAACTCATTCAGTAGCTGATCGCTGTCCTCGAGGACCGATGCAGCCATGCGCAGACCCAGGCCCAAGCCCATCCCCAGGCCCAGCAACAGCAGCAGCAGCATGAAGAAGATCTGCACCAGAGTTAGCTTCATTTTCCCTGGGGGAGAAAAAGGAAATGAGGATGAAACTTGGCTCCTTCCTCTCCCCCAAACCTCACAGGGGACACATCTTCTCTTCTTCCTCCAGATGACCCGCCCCCCCGCCCGCCCCTGCACCTCCAAGATCGGGATGGGATCCATGGTGGGGTGATGGGCTACCCACTGAGCGGCCAGCAGCTCAGAAACACCAGCGGCTCAGAGGGAGAAAGCTGGGCTTTCTACTCCCGTGAACAGCTCAGACACTCACAGGAGGTGAGTCAGAATTGACTCAATATCAGGGAGTTCGGTTTGAAGTTTTCGAGACAGAGAACGCTCCCCTTTCTTGTGACGTTCCTCCCGTCCTCCCACCGCAACCCTCGTGGCGCCACATGAACGTGGGGCATGAAGATGGCCAGGGGAAGCAACTCTGAAACTGGTTCGCTTACGGGCAGCGGCTGGTTAAAAAAGTAAGGGCTCGTTACGCTTTCCTTGAGAGACAACCTTGTAGTTACTCTTAGCAACTGAAATGAACAAAGCAAATTCACTGCCATCAAATCGTTACAAGTCATAGTGCGTCTGTGAGACAGCGTATAATTGCCCCCTTTGGGTTTCTGGGACTTGTCTCTACAGGAGCAGACAGCCTTTGCCTTCTCTTGTGGGGCAGCTGGTGGTTTTGAACCTCTGGCCTTGAGGCTAGCTGCTCATTGTGTACACTCCACACGGGGCTCTGTAATAAACAACTAGATTAACGATCGTAGAAGGTCTCTCTATTTCACTGCCAGTTTACTTTGGCTAATTCTAGTATGTAGAACTTTCCGTGCCACGCACGTTCCCCACAAGAGCTCAAAAAGGGTAGGACAAATGCCATAGTCAAGTCTGCTTCTAAGCTGAGGCTGAGGGAGATGTCCGACTTCACACCTCGGGTTCCTGCTAGAACCGCATCTTGAAATGACAGATTCCTTCGACTAGTGAAGATCTTTTAGCATCTGGATACTAGTTGCTGAGAATAAATCAAAGAAAACCAAGCAATGGACCTACGGGGATTTCCCTACTAATGAAGACCCTAATGAGAAGTGAGGAGATGATACATGCTTTTGTGTGGCCTCATCCTTCTTCCCCAGGAGGGGGGATGACGCTATGCAGAACACTCTGGAGACATGGAGTAAACCTGGAAGACCGTCTGTGGTTTACAGTAAAGCAGTCGATCAATGTGCAAGAGGCTGGACTTGAAACATTGTACTCTGATATTGACAGAGTGTTTCTGCTCTTAGGAACTGCACCCTGAAGTGGTGAGGAGGGAAAGGAGTATAATGTTGACCGTCTACTTTTATAGGGCTCAGAAAACAAGTTGTATGAATGTGCACATCTACACGAGTTTGCAGAGAAAAGGGGGGCCAGACAGATGTGGTTAAAAAAAAGTTTTTGGAAAGAATGTATCTGAATAAGGGGTATTCAGGAATTCTTTGTGTTCGTTTCCCCATTTGTGCCTGTAAAATTGAAAGTTGTGTGTGTGTGTATGTGTGTGTGTTTAATTCAAGAAAGGAAACCTTCCCATGCTGCCCCGTGTTACTTACCTACACACCTAAGTAGCTCTTGTTTCCGCCCCTTCCCCAAGTGCTTCTCTCCCAGGATTTCCTTCTCTCTGAGCAGCGCCCTGGAATATGGTCTGCAGCAAACGTGGTTTTTCTCCTGGTAGACCACGTGCTCTTAAACACGGACTGGTTTCCTGAACCCACGGCCCTCCTACTCGGACTGGTTTCCTGAACCCACGGCCCTCCTACTCCCGGTAGCTAGCACAGAGTGAAAACACTCAACCAATTCCCCTTTCAACTCCCACAAACACTTTGAAGTAAGCCTCTTTAGCCATCCACAGAGATCCAAAACCCTCAAAACAGGAAATGTCTCAAGTCTGGGAAATTCCTGATAGGTTTCTTGGGTCAACAATTGTTCCACTTTGGGGTTACACCCACTGCCCTGTGGCAGAGGCAGCCTGACCTGGCCAAGGCTTCCTGACTGAGTCATTTCCTTGTATTCTCTTCTCCATTGCGCTTCCTTTTCTCTCTGCTCCGTCTCTGCAATGCCGAAGTCTCCTGTCTTTCTGTGGGTCACCTCTCCACAGATCTTTAACTTTTCCTATCTTAGAGCAGTAGTGTGACTTCATTTGAAGGTTTGAG